AATATATAATTAGGGTAAGGATCTGAGGGGTTGAAGGGTCAGTGTTTGGTTACCTTCACCTATAACTATAAAGGATTATCCTGTTGAAGGGATACCGGAAAGGAAATTAGAAGTGGCGATCCTTCTACAACACCCTTCAGAAAATGATACAAATCAATCCTGAACATGAATAATGGACTGGGAATAAAGCTGAGCTTTAATCAATCTGATTAGAATCCCGGGTCATGTAATTTTAAAGTGCTGAAAATATCAAAGAAATCTTTCATTTAGATTGGGGTTTTCCCCTAAAATTCTACTTCAATTTTCTTTCTCGACATTTATTCATATGTCGATTAGAGTTTACCTGTAGAACCTTATCAGTCGTCACATACCATCATCTTGTCAATGTAGGACTACCAACCGACAATCTTAATTTCAATCCATTATTTACTTGTAGCCTTCGACTTTTGAATTGTGCCTTGACGAGCAACTTGATTAGTACCTTGGTACGACATGGTTTATGATAATGAATGATAACGAATTTTTATCTGGCTGCGTAAAATAGTATTAATAAAGGTAAAGGCTGTAATGGGTATGTAAATGTGGAATATTTGAATAATTTTGGGGATTTGAAGAGAGAAAATTATTTTTCTCCATGGAAATGAGAATTTAATGATATACTTGTGACTTGAACCAGGGAAGAAAATAGTACTTGAGATTTTATGACACAAAGAAGGAAGACGAAGCATTATTATCTTCTATAGGATTTTTGATATTGAAAAATTGTGATTTTCGAAAGAATATACGAGATCAGATAGACAGTATAATCACTGTGGCTGAAAGAAGGGCCTTGAAAGATTTTGTAATATTGACGTGGGTGTTTCAGAAATTTGCATGTATATAAGAGTATAGTATATATATACGATAGAATACTTTAACGCTTGAAATTTTTTACTCGACTTCTCGAAGCAAAAAAAGCTCAAATGACAATATTCGTTGAATGAGACAATTTTTATTTTAGAAATTATCAATAGATTTTTGAATCTTTAAACATTGAGGGATTATAGGTCCCAATGGATAATAAAAGTAATACTCACTCCTTTGGTAATCCTCCAGGTTATCCGGATTCTGTTCGTAAAAACTTTTTTATTAGTTAAGTCAAAAATTACCAGTGAGAATACATGTAATCCTTAAGAAATAAAAGGACTTCGCGACAGGGCCTCATACCTTTGCAGGATCAAAGTAAACTTGTAAATCCTAAAAGGTTCGTAAGATTACAGTTTTGAGATACGAGGTTAATACACAATGACAAAATAAATGTATCATGCGTAAAGTATGGGTAACTTAGAAAAAAAAAAAAAATTAAATTGAAAATAATTATAAAAAATTTCTTTAAAAAAGAAAAGAAACCCGTTAGATTCGGACGTAACTATTTTCCTTCTGTTTTCAAATCCCCCGAAGATAAAGTGCTTACGCAAAGGGTGAGTTAGGTATATAGGGTCAGGCTAAGTTCTGATCTCGAAAGGGTCGTAAATGCCATTATGACTTTCAGCCTCAACACACCTCCTGTACTACCTTTTCTTGACAAAGGAAATAAAACGACGATATAACCATTGACTGAAATTAAATTCACAAGTAACGTGAAATCTTGATGAATATGAAATTCAGTGCTGTATTATTTAAAGTGAAATGATCCTGCATGATTGAAAATCACTGTCAGTGGTAACCATTTATTTTTTTTGCAGTATCAAAGAATAACATTGCCTCAATATTTGTTGCATCGTGTTTTCAATAATTATTCTTAAGCGTTCATATATCTGTTCTGCTCTATTTCAATTGTATGCAGGGCTTACATTGACACGAAGACACTCGAATGAATTGTCCACTAGAATGCTCAATCGCTTCGAGTGTCCTTGAATGTTTGCTAATCGATTGTCCATTACGTTTGAACTTCAACGTAAACTTCAGTTGAGTTTCTCTGTCACTACTATTTTCAGTTGGGAAGAAAACAGAGAAATTGAATTATTTTGTTATATTTATAATAAAAATTTGGTATTTTATAATTTTTCATAATATTGCTCAATCGAGTACATAAGGTACATACATGAGTGTAACGTAAATGGACAAACGTATTCATATAAATTTACATGTGTATTCAGGATGAAAATAAAGGGGTGGTAGATAAGTTAGGGGTTAGTTTCATGTGGTGGTCAGACACTAGCAAGGTAAGGGTGATCTTTATTAATACTGTGCCGTTAGAATACACGGCCCTGGCACTTTGTATAAATTAGCGCACTAGGGCGTGCTTAACAAGCTACTCGTAACATCTGGGGACACGATAGTACACGCGTACGTGTAGTGATACCAACATAAGAACATAAGAACTTACACACAAGGAACACTTATAGATCTGTGTTCTGTCAAATGTGAAAAAAGGTGCGGTGTAAGGGCATTTCCTCGAATCCTAATGTACCAAGAATGCTGGAAATTCTCCTGGCACTCCTTAGGAACAGCACATCACTAACCCATTTCTCTGGCACAGTGTGCGTATGGCTAACCTTGCCAACATGGGGGAATTTCTATTTTTAGCAAACCTTTATAATTTCTCACGCTTTCTGCGTTTTGCATCGATATTATGCATCTATCAGATATTCGCATATAACATCTATATGTCTTTATAGCGTTATAACTCCTCGACTTTGAACTTCGATATCCCTATACAGTGTCGTAAAATTCCTATAACAATCCTTAGTCATGCTTTAAATTTGGCGATTGACTTGGAAAAAACAAGTGACTGCCGTTAACCTGCATAACAATTTTGTATCTCCAGTACGATTTTACCGTATTTCTTCTCCTTATGGCAGTTGCAAGGTACTCCATTAAGTTTCACACTTAATTAGCACCTTATTCGATTGACTTCAACTACTAAACATTTTGTGCTGTATTCTTGATATATGAACGCTTTATGTATCTTCAGAAAATATTATATAAGAATAGCATGATAAAGGAAAAAAAAAAATGTTTTCGCCCTTTGAAAAAATGTTAATCGCCCTTTGAAATTTTATCCGTCAGTTTTAAAAGGCTCCCAATTCTCCTCATGCGTTTTGCACAATTCATTCTCGCAATGCGAAGTGTCAGCCTCCCTAAATAATCGAGTGTGTCGACCTAACCTCAACATCCATTTTACCGGGTTCTTCCTTCAGTTGGCTCCTTTTTTTTTCTTCTGTCCCGTACCCACCACTTTTCCTTTCGTTTCACGCTTGCTGGAGCAATTTGGTGTGGGCTACCCTGTATAACCTACATGGACGAGACTCCGGTGGGAATGGTTGTGAAAAATTCATGATTAGAGAACTTCCGGTTGCGAGTGAGACGACTGTAGCAGGGGATAGCGGTTTAACAGTGGAAAGAATGGGACGACTATTTTATCGTTATTGCTTTTCGCTCCTCTCTCTGTAAAGACGTACAATCAATTTTAATTCAGACCAGCAGTACGTGCGGTATAGTTGGTGCAAGCTAGAGGTACTGTAAACTTGCGTGTCCCATGCTGGATATCAATGTGTCCGGAAGATGTCGATCACGAGGGGGAAGTGTTTCAAATTAGAATGAAAGGTAGAAAAGTTCACAAGAGGGGTTTAACAGTTGACGGACAGGGTATAAGGATGAAGAGGGGCTGTATTTAATGCTGGGAAACGAGGGCTGTAACTGTCACGTGACTTTGTTACAAAAATTCTAATTAAAAAATGCAAATAACGAGGAGGACGAATAAATTGTAGGAGAAATGGTACTTAACGGGAAATTATATGATAATGGGGTTCAATCTTATCCAGGATAGTTTTTTAAGTGGGAAATAAGAAAAAAATTGATTTCATTAATCAGCGAATCAGAATTTTACAGAAATTCCTTTTCTTTTCTACATTTTTCATGTTTACGTGTGTCTGCTGAATCGAATAGAGGTTTTAAGACATTATGGGTCGGGATGTGCATTGATGCGAATCTTACTCAGTAAGGCTTGTGCAAAGTAACGGAAATTCTCATGAAGTATCTTCGATCCGTGCTGTTTTTTAGTTCGCCTATGAGGAAAATAAAAGAAAATGGTTAGGAAAATGACTCGAGTAGTATAGGGTAGAATGAAAGAGGGCAATTTTATCTATCAGAAAATACGTACTATAAAGACTGTCGTTTTTTTCACGGTACTTAAGAATTTAATGTATAACGGATCAGTTAAAATTCTCCAAATATGCCTTATAGCGTGGCGGGAGATTCAAAAAAACTGAACAGACAAAAAATCTCCGCCAGGGATAGTAGCGTGTTCGCAAAAAATTCTAGATATTCCTGGTATACTTTTATATTATACTTGATCCTTGGTGGATCATGACATGAAACTCAACTACCGGAAATTGCAGTCTCGCTCGACACTTCCTGCACGTCGTCTGTGGATTCTGTCTCGGGGAATTTATCGCTATGCTCCTCGACGATTTATATAATGTTTCTAAAAGCCGAAAAGTCGAGACGTTACGAGGTCAAAATAGGTTTATCGATGAATAATATGTTTTAAGTAGATTTTAAATGTTTTAATAGTATGCTCTTTATTTTGATTAACATTACAGTAGATGTGTACTGATTTGAAGTGTAATTGGGAGCAGCATTGCTTATGCATGAGGATACCCGATATTATGAAAAGTAAACAGGAAGTCCTCGATGGTTTGCATATTGACTTTTATATGTATAATGATTTATGAGTCATCCATTGAATCTGAGTTTATTGTAGTCGAGTGCTTAGGTCATTCATCATTTTTCTGCTTTAATTAATACCGCAATCACGAAGGTGAGCCAGTATCGTATTTAACCGAATGCAAATAAATCTGACATTTGCGAATGCATCATAGCTTCCACTAGCGATGTCAATTATTTACATAATTAACGTTAATAGTCAGTAATTGGGTTACGATAATGTTAAACCAAGTAGTGAAATTGACAATCGAGTATTTCGAAGTACAACGCAAAAAAAATTTGTTTTCCAGGGTTCAAGAAACCGATGGATCCTTTTTCGAGAGTTTTACGGCATTATCCTGGAAACAAGAAAATCGACGACTCATGGTTCTACAAGAAGTCGAGGCCAGAGCGGAAGAGGCACCGCCGTCATCCAGAGAGATGAATTTGAATACATCTCAGGGCTACAGGCTCAGCAAGAAAGAGGTTAGTCAAAGTAAATAAAAGCCTGATTGAGCGCACGTGTACAGTCCCAAATGAAGACATTCGTTACGTGCAGAATCTCTGGAAAAATGAAAATTTGAGAAAAACACTTTTTTTCAGCTAATCTATATGAATTGAGAAGCGGTCCCTGTGTCAAAAATAATTTTGCATTTTTCATGAAATATTCTCCGTGACTCTGGTAGGCGAGAAAGTGCGACATTTATCTTTCACGCATGCCAACTCTATCCGTGTCAATCCTATTCAATTACTTTTGAGTCTCCGTAAAATTGTCAGGGGGACTTTTCGATCTGTGATAGAACTCCCAAGATTATAGGCATTGGCATATTTGTCAAGCAACTTTTCCTTTTCCTTATTTTCCTTCAGCGCAAAGAGAACACTATGATATTACGTAAAATATATTTGGGAGATTGTGATGACAGGAAAAGCACATCATATATTTCTTGAAGTTATCGGCTCAGCTCGTGTAGAGTTAATTTAATTATTTTGAAATTTTTCATGGAATTTCTTTACGTAAGGGCGAAGTTTTATTCGCGAAAAATTTGGAAAATTATCGTTTTAAACGTTTTAATGATCATTTGAAAGAAATAACGAAATTTCATTTCGTCCAAAATTCGTCATCTCCATTCCTTATTAATTCAAATTTATAATTCGCTTTAGAGAGGCATCGTCACTTTTGAAGCGACCTGACACACCTTGCAAAATGAAATTATTTTGCATCGTAGAGATCGCGAGCACGAACTTCGTTGGAAAGTAAATGATGCCAAATATTCTGTATTGAATATTTCAAAGGTGAACCCAACTGTAACCCCGTTTCATCGACAACTCGAATTTTCTGAACCCTCTCGTCCACTAAACATGCGAGACTGTCTTAGATTCTGCGTATCCTTGACTTATCGAGTCAATAGTCACTCACTCAATTCTGCTTTGGAATAAGAACTTTCGCTTCCGAAATGTGTTTCAGGTTTGTTGAAAAGGAATTTAAAATTAATAACGTCAATAAAACTGGAGCCGCCACGGTAGAAAATCATAACAAAATTTATTGCAAAAATAGGAGCTGTTTGAGAGCTAATTAAGGTCCCTAATTAAAATTTTAGAGCTCCACCCCTCTTAGTCAAAATCTGTGGCAGTGCTAGCTTAAAAAAAGTTGAAAGCGCCACAAGATAAATAATGAAAAGACTGAAACAAATAAAACATAGAATTTAAGAGCTAATTAAGTGCTTAAAAAATTTGCAACAGCCAGACTTAGAATTCACCCCTTTGCCCGAAAACCGACCCTATCCCGCACTGGTCACAAGAGAGAAGTATCTTTCCACGCGAAAATTAAGGTGTTTCAACACCAATCCCGACGGGTAAGGATTATGGATGAGTCAAAAATTGTATAACAGAAACAAACAAATTTAGCTGAAAATAGCCAATTTTTGGTTTTGCTGTTTCGTTAAGTTTTGTAAATCGGTAAATACGTACATTTGAATAAGAACAGTTCTTGTTTCACTGAATTATTGAATTTCCAGCAACAAATTATCTATAGGGCTTAGGTACAGATTATTTCCACTTGGATGACGTAGAATCGTGCTAAAGATTCAATAACGGCACAAAACAAGGGGTACCAACTTCGAAATTCTCCTTCAAAATTAACTAACAAGTGGTTTTGCTTTAGGAGCGACAGTTCGTGAAATTTCGAAGAATGGGTTTTGCGAAGCTGTATTCAGGCTGTGTCCATTTATCCATTTTATTATACCTCTCGTTAGGCTTATATACATACAGTCAAATAATTTCTATATAAATAATATGTATTATATTTTAAAAAATACTCTAAACTATTTCAGCTATATAGGCCATCTCATAAATGCTGTGCCTCGTACTTTTCGTTTCTAATGTATAATTAGCGTAATTACGAGAGACCGTAAGGTAGTCGAGAAAATTTATGGTTAAGGCAGAAATGCTTGGTGAACTCGTACATCTTAAAGGGGAAAGCAGCTTATGAAGGATGCGATTTTTTTTTCTACACCACATTGCAAAAGTTTTTAGATTTATCCAAATTTTAACGCAACTTATGGTACTTCTGAACTCTTTATAATTAATATAATTTATTAATAAACGACCTGTTTCTTAATAACATTTAATTTGATAAACAGTATGCTGAATTAATTGGTACAGTCCTGCTCTTTAATACCACAATGTAATGCTTGTATGCATTTTTTTTGGGTTATTCGCCAAATTTGAAATAAACCGCTATTTCGTGTTTTGCTTGGGTCAACAGTATTCTTCGGATTACTCTTTGTCTTTAATTTGGGATTTATAAATTTGCCGAGAACTAATAAGCCCGTCCTCCCCTTCTTACCTCAATTTCTTTGCTCAATTACTTCAGTTTCAATAGAAGGTAAATAGAAAATTTTGCTAATTCAATAAGAAAGTCATGATTTGTTCATATTTTGACGATTATTACCAATTTCTTTAATACCGACCATATTTATATATGCAACACCATAAACGAGATTAGTACAATATTACGATTAGTAAGCTATACGTTTTTACGTTGGTATTATTTTTGTTCACGAGTTCGAGAACCACTGTCCCAAATCAGCGGCACGTTAAGTTGAATGCTTATTTACATAAAGTGCTTCTTGCTCGTGCTGTTGAGAATAATTTTGCTTTTTAAACGTGCTTTACAGATGGAGCAGCTGTATATAGAAGTTCTTTACACAATTGCGAACACTGTGGGCGCGAGTACTGGCCAATATGCACATTATCGGGAGGATTTAAACAGATACGCGCAGGAGGCGTTTAACGTACCTCAGGATCAGCATCGACGATGCCTAAATATCGCATCCAAAGAGAAAGTAAGAGTTTTTAGAAAAGTTTTAATTACTCTAAAGATAATTTGCAACGTAATGCAGATTGCATGAAAATGTATCACGTGAAAGATATCGAAGCTTTACTCGTTAATAATTGACAAAAATTACAGAAAGAATTATTTTCAATAGATTACTTGAAAATTATTATAATTATTCGTTATTAATGATATAGACAGTAAACAATGAAAATACGTAATCGTTAAGGTGTTTTGTTTCGTCTTAGTAAGCTTGCAGTGTAACCTTGCTGTTTTGAGGATTAGCCAATAGAAATTAATTTCGCTCGACGGTCAGGTGCTTCGTCTGTTTATTGTACCTGACTCTGCAACTTAAATGAAGCGTAGATAAAACTAATTTCTCTATTGTAGGAGTAGAGTTTAATGGAGGCATTTCACACTTCTTCGTTCTAACGATTTTTTTTCTATGGAACTATAAGTATACTTTTGTATTTTCCAGAAGCCCATAGTGGTACTCAGTGTCGTTGTCATTGAGGCTGAAGGACTAGAAGCGAAGGACGCCAATGGTTAGTGAACGTTTATTTTCATGTATATTGAATGCAGTTAAGTCATATTTCTTTTGACAAAATATTAACTTGAATTATAAATTTATTGGTTTATAAATTTGGGGCGTTTAAAGGTTTCAGCGATCCCTACTGCATGCTTGGTATTCAACCAGGAAACAGCGCAGGACCACCAAGTCCACAGCCCAATTTGAGTGCGCATTCGCCGCATACACCACCTGCGTCACCGAGACAAGCTACGCGCGCCCTCTCGGACGGCGGCGATAATGAGAACTCGCATCATGAAAAACTTCGAAAGCATCACAGGTCAATATGAGAGCATAGAAGTGAAATATGTTAGAGATTTATACTATTAGGAGAAGCACAATCTGCGTTATTCTATTGCGAATAAGAGAATTCGAGATATTTTCTTGAACAATGACAGCGAGGTAGACTATTCCATGAAACAATGTAATTCACAGACTGATACGCCATCTGTTCCAAATGGTTGGCTATATCAAAGATTTCGCAGCTTTTGTCGATGGGGTAACGCTAATAAGACGACTGTTTTACACAATGGAGTGTTCTGGAATTGATAAATTTCCTTAATATATTCGTATTCTTTCTCTTTATCTCTGGCAATTATGTAAATGTCACGCGGAAGGAGATCGAGGAACAGGTCTGCGAAAATGTCGAAAACTGCCAAGGGGGAATTACACGTGACACGTGTACATAGGTAGAGTAGGGTCGGTGAATATTCAAGTCACGGTCTGAAGGGTTTTGCGATTATTGTACCATCTGATTATGCTGGTGACCAACTCTGGTTAATGGACAACTCCTGTGTGCTGATGGCAACGTTGCAAGCTCGACACGAAAACTTACTTCTGGAGGACGCACGACGGTGCTACGTCTCCACGAATGGCTATTGTTTCAGCTACTATGGAGAACTCTCATACTGATATGACTAGCAATGTGGGTTCTTATCTTTCGTCCTTCATTACATTCGGATGTAACATTTTTGTGCTTTTCAGCGAACAGCAAATAATCGAATTTTTCGTTATTGTTTCATCGATTAACGATTCTATATATTCAGTGTGCTTCTTTTGAGTATGTCAAAATGCACTGAACAATGTCCAGTGATCACAGTTTGCTTACAAATCTGTTGCGTAACTGGTAGCAATTACATAACTTATATCACTAATGAAACTTATATTTTTAGTAAAACATATTTCAAAATAATGAAGTTTGGATATACAAATATCGTTTGAAGTAAGCTTTTTTTTTATAAATGGATCATTGAGTAGACAAAGTAAAATATATATAGCATAACATTGTTGTCAAGTCTAGGAATATACATATAGATATGCGTCCCTGGGCTCGTGTTTCCCTTTTGAAGTCAATGAAATTTCCATAATGGCTGTTCAGTAAGGATGTCAATATAGTTCAACTTTGGGAATACATACAACTCTACGATACAATATGATGTTACATGATGATTAGCTGTTACAGTGATTTGGTTTCGATGATCACTTCAATATCAGCTTATCCACGTTTACAGTGCTTTAATATACATTTTTATTTTGTAATCAGTTTCAGATTATCTTTCAAACGCAAGGAGCATGGTAGCAGAAGGGAACATCGGGAATCGTTAAGCGGTGCAGTACCGGCAAAATTTATTCGGGCAACCTCGGTAAAGCCTCACACACTAAGCCCGCGATGGGATGAAAAATTTCGGTTGTAAGTTGAGTGCACCGAAAGTTACGCCATTTGCAAAATCATTGTACTTTAAACTCGTGTTATTTTACTTATACTTAGCTGTCTTATCTACTTTGAGTCAGATATATAAAATGCATGTGCTTTCATGCTTATGAGTCGACGAGCTCCATAATTTAATTGGAACAATCAGAGCACGGTTGAAAGGCATTTTCTCTTCAAACAGATTCAGAATCATGGTTGACTGGTTTTGAGTTGTACTTGCAAGTATTACACAAAACTGTTTGCAGTTTTGAAACTCGACACGAACGGCGTTAACATTGTTTGCATCTGAAATTTGGCGCGCCCAGTACCTTTGACTAGTTAGACTGGTTATAAAGTCAATTGGAAAGTAAACAAAGTAAATTAGAAGTTTAAAGGTTACCCCAGCGAGTCTGTTCTAGAAAGCATTATGTACGTCACAAATGAATGACAAGAAATACATTATAAATTTATCAATTTATTCCTATTAGTGCCTTGAATCAATTTAACACATTTGGACATTTATAATGCAATTATGAATTAGGTTTATAATATGTAAAAGATGATTTCAACATAGGAGCTTTTACTAGCTGTAAAATTATGTAGAAGATAATGAAGTGCTATGAGGTAGATATTTTTCATGTTCTTTTATCGGTATCTTAGACGTTTTTAGAAGCGTCTAGATAATTTTTAATACTCTCAGCTTAGGGTGCGTTCCAAAATTTATTGTAAGGAAGGCGTGTATGGTTGTGCCTAATTCTATTGCATGCAAGTAAACAGGAATACAATGATAGTTATAGTATTGGCATAGAATTTCTGAAGGGACTGGCTTATACTATTGTTTATATTCAACTTCAGATAACGTAACCCTTACTTGCCCTTATGGATATGAATTCTCTTTCAGTGACATCGACGATCTGGAAACAGACATCTTGCATCTAGATATATGGTGAGAGTCCCTTTATTCCTTGTGTGTTAACATTACGCGCAAGACTTCTTCAATGCCGGGAGTTTGGTATGCCTGACAGACATGGTTGCAGGGACCATGACGACGAGTCTTCTGTATTTGACGCGGTGAGCAAATTAAATGAAGTTCGCGGAGTTAAAGGACTTGGCAGATTCTTTAAGCAAATTGCCCAGAGCGCCAGATCTGGAAATCAGGACGATTTTTTGGGTTGCGTAAATATACCATTGGAGGTAAAGTATAGAAATTTTAAACGTTGTTTTCCATTTGGCTTATGTCTTTCAGTTTAGCATTACGAAGAAGTGAAATTCTCCAATTTCTATCCTTAATTTCGCTATCGATTATATCACTACATTTTGAATTCATCGGATAGTCAGTTATGTGGATGACTTTTGGTATTGTTGTGCGATGTCTTTGATGCTACGATGGCTCATTGTAAAAAGTTTTTAATAATCCTTTTAGGATATACCTAGTACGGGTGTTGAAGGGTGGTACAGACTCGAGGCCCGGACACAAAAAAGTAATATTCAGGGACGTATCAAGTTAAAATTGTGGCTGTCGACGAGAGAAGATCGGGGAACATCCGAGGAGGATAACTGGGGTGAACTCAGGCAACAGGAACGTCTCCACACTGTTTTTTTGAATCATGAAATGAATCGACAAGGGGTATGTGCCTTTTATTGAACATTTTTTAACTTAGATTCTCATTACAATATTTGACTAAGAGTACTCCGACAATGCACCGATGCGACGGGAGAGAATTTTTTAATTGTTAAAAAAAGCATTACGTTGCATATATGGGTATGCGTGATAACGATGGGAAAAATTACAGATGGACTTCACAGGTGAATTGCCACAAACTGCACTTACTATTTTACATCAACATGCAGTGCAGGGGGATGTCACGGAATTACAACAAGCACTGATCAGATGGGTTGCGACATCACGTCAACCAGCAGTCGACTCAAAAACATTGCATCGTCTTTTGCAGGTAACAAGAATATATCTTGAATTACCTGCTGTTTCATTTGATGATGATTTTTTTTTACCTGACAAATCCTGTAACTGGAAAATTTTATATTTCGTATACACTGTTTTAGGACTTGGACAATCTTTGGCCAACGGATACGCTTTCCCGCGACGAGGAAGAATGCCTGGCTGATTCATTCAATGCGTTTTTGGAAATAAGCTTGAAACAAGTGCGGCAGCATCGAATTTTATTTCCGCCTTTACATCGACCGGCCATTGCTAAATTGGATTATCTACTTAGGTAAGGATTTATTTTTTTTTTTGTGGATCGAAAAAACGCAGGACAAGCAAGTAACAGTAACGCTATCATAAAAGCTTATGTAATTCAGAGTAAAGATTTCTCGAAAGAGGCTGTAAATACATTGTTCCTCAAAATCTATTATTCTGTTGACAGGTGCCTGGGTCTATTGTCGAATATGAAAGCTTTCTGGAAATGTTGTCCGTTCAACAAGGAGATACGTGGAGAAATAATTACAGCCCTTAGGAAAGGGACTCTCGAGTGGTGAGTAGTAGAGGTCTGCAGGATAATATTGATATTGCTGAAGTATTGCAGAATTTTGGAATGCATACTTGGTACAAAGTAAAGGAAGGTAAAAAGTCTTTCAAAATACCGTTTTCGACGTACATTCACTGTTAGCAGAGGTACTCGTGATAAATTAAGGTTTAACGTTAATCAATCAAATTCAATTAATTCGGTTATCTCAGGTATGAAGATACCCGTCAACAAACGATGTGCCACGATCAAGAACCTGATCAAGATGCGGATAGAGTCCTTCAAGACTTTACAAACTTGGTTACGGCTCTGTTGGTTGATCTGCAGCAAGGACTGCACTACTATAACAGCCTTTTCGAAAAGTAAGTGCATACAAGAAGATACAAAAAATGTGTAATTAACAGTTTTGCTCCGTTGTTTTCGAAATTTACAGCACTAACGGAGTTCCATACTTCTCAGCGGTATATAAGCAGCTAGACAAACTGGTAAGCTTAATGAGATATTACTACAAAATGTGCAGAAGATTAAAAAGAGTAAGAGAAAATGAAAAGTTCATTGTAAAAAGATATAAAAGATATGTTAGTTGCTGATATCACTTGATTATCACTTTGAGTGAGGAATTTTCACATACAAACACCATAAACGCCATCATTACGTTCATCAACGCCAACATGTCGTACTATCATTATTTTACTTGTATTTTGTACATCTCTTATTTATTTTGAAGTTAATTGTTTCATCTCAAGCTAGATGTGCTATGTTTGGCTTATATGCTTCTGTCGGACCACGTGACGTCGATCGTGTTTCTAGGCTTTCAAGAAACGTGAGCAGAGATAAAAACAAACAGAAAAAATTTGCAATGTATCCTTTGAACTTTAGTTTGTCCTAATTATCTATTTTGTATCAACACTAATTTTATTGGACTCTCTCCTATACAGAAAAGTATCGAATTTCACAATTCTAGTGCGCGAGGACACTATTTTTCTTGAATCTTTATTTTACGGGGTTTCCATTGTTTTCGTTCACACGTTCAAGAATGGTCGACTGTAAGAAAGGAAATCCTAATTTATCGCGAATCCGGTCGGCGTCCGGATGTAATGTACTTGCGCTTACAAGATTTGGGCGTGTAGCGATTGTCCCGAAAGTAGCAATTAATTGAAGTATTTTCATAGTTTATGTAAATCGTATACGTATGTCAACAAATTGAATTTCTGTTTCAAGTCATTGTTCAATTTCGGGACAAGCCTTACACTCGCATCGCAATGACCTGAAGATTAAAAATTATAAAAGCCACGTAAATTGACAAGAAAAAATTATTTTAAAAAATATTTTGAATTTCGGATTGTTAACAGAATCGTGATAATTCACGTGTGTACTACTATCAGGTCATAGTGATTTTACTGTATACAAGATGTTTGTTCATAGCTGGCGGAACACGTGGCGAAACACATGGAGAACACATCCGAGGTACTTTTGTCTTGAGCACCATCGATCTTAGCCATTTTCTCTGAATCTCTTTGGAAAATGATCTTGCAAAATTTTTGAAAAATCGTTGCATCGATATTTTCACTCTCTATGATCGTATGTGTGTGATGCGATAAACCTCGTACATTTTCCAGGGGACGTTTCAGTAATCATTTAAACAGGGTTAATTTTTAAGTATTTATTTCCTGTATGATTAACAACTTATTTGCGTCATTAGAAATTGAATTTATTCCTGCAGTATATTACTACTAAGCACGCGTAACTGAAACGCCCTGTATGTACGGTGGTAGCATCTTAACGGTATATAACTTGTACTCTCTCTTCGTGGTCTCTCTAGTACTTTACACCTTACACGCTCCTCTATCCGTTTTTCTTCTGGTAGACGGTTCCCTCAAAGGATGAGCACGAAATTAAAGTAATATAGGCAATTCGAAATGGACGTAAAATTCCAATTGGATTCGACTGAGTCTCATAACACTCGAAAGCAGATGTTGCATATACGAAATTGGCAGAAAATAAAAAGTTTGAACCTTTGAAACCGAAAACCGTAAAAAACGGATGTTACACAACAATGCTGTGCTACGCGACAACCGCATGTTGCCCGCTTTCTATTTCCGGTTTGTATTATCTTAGCACGCATCACCAACACCAAATGGAAGTGTGCACGTGCATGCAGACTCACATGCACTCACTGTGCACTCAATTTCACTGGAAAGTGTCGACGTTTCAGATCAGGCAATTAAATGTATTTTCATGGGAATGTAATTTTTTTAGAAAATTATACAGAGCCTACAAATGTGTATGCATAATTAAATACGGAATGCATATGGGAAAATGGATGTTAGGTTAGGTTGAATCAGGTTGCCATTTTCCTACGTGCAATTGTAAGGATAACATAGAGTTACAAAATCTTGGAGAAAATATTTTATACATAACCGTTTGACTTATTGGCTATTATCGAAAAAATAAATCAGCCTCTGGTAAAGATCACGTGATAAAATGGCGCCGTTTTCAAAGAAACATTTCTTTCTTACATATGCATTATACCTCTTCTCCTATATTAATACCTATTACCTATTACCTATATTACCTATATTAATTGTCTCCTTTGACTATAATTACTGAACTTCTTCAATTTACTACGGTTGTAATACGTTAAAGGCTCGGTATGGAGTCTAATATACTTTGAGACATCCAATATGCTTCTCCATCTTTACATTTATATAGTCAAAAGTTAACTTTTTGGCTGTATATAAATCTATCGCATCTGTAACATATGGCGATTTGAAGTAAGCGTTTAGCTAATATTATAATCCAAGACATTACTTATAATGTGTACGTCATTTAGCCATATGCAGTGATGCATAGTAGCTATCAATCTTACCGACATTAAAAACCAATCGACGTAAAAAAGCTCTCAGGTTATATTTGTTTACTCCATCCAAATGTACAGTATCATATAAGTGAAATGTATCTACACGCGAAATATATAATTATATTCGTGTCGCTTTTCCTGCTTCGCGATATCTTAATACACACGCGGCGTCAAGTCTCGTGGAATCGTTCATGCAATAACTACACGAAGGTACAGCCATTTCTCTGCGGCGTAGTTGAGAATTGGATTTTCCTTTATAACCTGCATTATTTTCCCATAAAGAAAATTTCACAGGAAAGCAAACCTCTAAGTGCGCTGTGATTTTCTTGGCTTCTGAAATGTCTCTAGTTTTATGTCGCGAACAAGGAAAAACTGAAATGAAGCGTGGCACAAGTCTTCTTCGTTCTTACTTTTCGTAATAATGTTTCATGAAAAACTCTTGATCACAATATCAACTTGTATACCTTTAATCGCGCGACGCAGCTGTGAAATTGCTATATGCGACAGCGATGTAAAATTACTCTTGTGCGAAAGTAGAAAATGATTGCTTCGGTGGATTTGTATATTTTCCGTGGATTCCTTTTCTTTAAATTTCTTACATGACTGATTTGTTGTTCTTTCAATTGTTTCATTGATCTTCATGCGAATAGTTGATGACATTCGCGAAATTACATCGTCACGCATAATCGCAGGTAAAAAGTAAAATAATGGTTATTCCAAAAAATGTAATTGTACATGCGGCAACTGAATTTTTATTATTTTGGAAAGGGGAGAAGCATACTGTGCCGGAAGCAAGTATTTGAATTTTTGAAAATATCTACCTACCTTTCCTATGAAAAATTTACAATTTAAACAAAAAAGCTATTGCTGGATATACAGGGTGTAACTTCTTCAGAGTCCGACGAGGGAGAGGCCCAAATCTCCTGAGGATTCGCCTTTTATTTATACTTGTTTTCGTACGAATAATATTAATATTCTAGTGTAACTAGCATACATATATATCAACACATGGTCTCATTGTTAAATAACAAGCAATCGATTGTCAGACGAAGGTAAACAGTTTTTCATCTTCTGCCAGACTTCCTATGAGAAGGCAAGTGCCAAGTAAAAGGTAATGGATTAGGAACTATTATTCCTATGACAACAAGTATAAATAGAAGAAGACGGATCGTCAGCTGATATGGGCTCCTTCCTCATCGGACCCCGGAGAAGTTACACTCTCTATATACTTTACGAATACCTTCCGGATATAAGGTACTTCACGTCCTGGGGGGTTTGTGAACAAGTCAGTTTTGAAACCGCCTCTAAATTTTCCATTTAGATGCACAACGAGCTTGGAGCCAGAGTTACGGCAGCTTGTCTTCAATTACACGGTCAGGATAGGGACGAGGAATATATTTTGCCACCAGGCGCTGAAATAGGAACGCCGATCTTTGAACTCTACCTCGCCCTTCAAGAATTCGTGAAGTGAGTTTTTGTTATATTTTCCCCGGATTGTACAAATCGCTGATTGATTATAATTGGTGGAAATTTAATTAGCGGTGACAGGAAAAATTGATTTTCTCACATTACATGTTCATTAAGCAGAGTTAATTGTTACAGCATGAAGGATCATCTACCGCAATCGGATCATAAGACTCTAGCAATTTGCACTTACTACCAGTGGTTTGAACCTGCAGTGGATAAATGGCTTGACTTAGCGAAACTGAAGGCGATGCAAAGAATTCGAAGGTCTGCGGAATTGAATCGGATATGCACGGGAGAGCTAATAGTGAAGCACTGCACTTCAGCGGTGGATGCAACTGCTTGTTTTTATCAGGTGGTGGATTAACTTATTGCAAAATGAATCTAACAGCTAGTTGAATAATTACAAATTTCGAAAGTCATTGCATTTTTTCATTGTTTATTTCTTCAGATCAAGGAATTTTGGAAACAACTTGCATGGCCAGATGTCCCGGGCTCTTACAACTTTGTACTGAAGATAATCGACGTAAGGGACATTATTAAATCAATTGATAAGGCGATTAATTAAAAAAAGAAAAAGTGAGCATTCGCAACTAAATTTACTCTTTTTCAGGCAATTTGCAGTTCTGCAGCGTATTATGCGGAATTGACGCATCAGAAATTGGCAGATGGCGGATACTACGAGGATCAAACGCCGTACAAGACCACTGACGAGGTAATCGCCCAGGTAGATACTGCTTCGCTATAGTAAATTCACATGCAGTAACTGCTTTTGCGATTACATGTAGGCTGCGGTAGTAGTAATTTTTTACAGGCCTTTATTACTGAAGCTTTGTTTTTTTACTTTGTAATTTTATGAAACTACTCATTTCTTACATATTACAATATGGCAATCTCTTGATTTTACGTACGAGGAATGACCTGCTAGACTGATACCGCTTTAAAGATTGATTTATCATACACAAACAAAAAGCAATAGTCACCGAAGATGCTTGAAGGATATCAAATCATGAAATACAATACATTGCTCGACGTACTTTTCATTTTGAAAAATATTAAAAAGATCCATTGTGCTGCCGAACATCCTCGCCAATCATCTCAGAGTGGGCTCGTTTGACAAATTTGAGGTCATTTTACGTATGGAATGCTTAATTCGCTTATCATTTTGCCAACACACTTATGAAAATATAAGTACTGAAAAAGCTTACGAGCAAAAGTTTTTTTTTTCTTGGACTTAAGAAATAAGTTTGCTTCTGGGCAGACCAAAGCCAGCACTCATTCATATTTCCAGTTTGTTTGAGAACGCTCTGGCAGTTTTTTAAAATTATTACACAGTTGTTCAAAACAATGTCGATTACTTAAAATCATTATTAACTTTTTAGATGTGCGTTGCTATTAACGGATTGGAGTACGTAAGAAGATGGTTGCTTAACCTGGGTGAGGAACTTCGAGTGGAGAATGTATTGGCTAGCCTGGAAGGTCAAGCCAGCGAAGCTGTGCGTTTACAGTGGCGAAATGCACTGACATTACCTTTGGAGCAAACACCTGGACAAATGCTGCTTTTTATAAATCAGATCATTTCCAGAATTGGTTCCAAGGTTGGTGGAATCTATTGCACTAAAATTAATGTTTTATGAAACTTTGATCAGGTTCAGAACTCCTATAGATAGGAAGTGTACTTATTCACCTTGAGTTCAATAAATTGACAATTTTTTTAGATGAGACCCCCGCTGAGAAAGACTATGTTCCATCTCGCGTGGTCTCCGGACAGTTTGCCAACTTCAGAAGCCATGGCTCCATTATTGGAATACCTTGACCTGCATTTGGTAGCACTTAACGCAGCTCTATTGGCTACCAATTTCACTAGGGTTCTTCAAGATGTATGGGAAGTCGTACTTGGAGAATTAAGTAATCAAATGAATGGAAGTGCCGGAGTAAGATTATTGTTACTGTTATATATATTATTTATAGTTCTAAATGAATCATGGGCTTTATTTCAATTTTTACATTTTAGGATAAACCTGCGGTATTCTACGACAGGCTTCACGAGGCGCTGGATCTATTAGTAGAATTTTTTTATGCCGAAGAGAAGGGTTTACCATATGAGGCACTCCGATGCGAAAGTTTTCTTAATGTAGAAGAAAGATTGCAATATCACAAAACCGATACTGCACTTTTAATTGATAGATATTATCAACAACGATTGCAGGTAATCGATTGATTTTTCAAGGAACCACTAAATCATTAAGTTATCATCTTTGTATGTTTTCATTCTACAGGACCAAATAAGTACTCTCACTGCTGAATACGGAGTGTTAACTGTAAGAGCGTATCTCAATCACGACTCTCTTTGCGTTGAGGTTCTCAATGCAAGGGACGTCATCCCTCTAGATCCTAATGGATTCAGCGATCCTTTCGTTATAATAGAACTGCTGCCAAGACGCGTTTTTTCTCATTGCGCAGAGCAGCAGACGAATGTTCAAAAGCGAACGCTTAATCCGATGTTCGATGAGTGCTTCGAGTTGTGAGTGTTTTTGTGAATAATTTCGAAAATTCATGGAATATATGAATAACGAAAGTTTTATTCGACTAAGAAAGTCTGTCACGTGTGAATGATAATTGGATAGATGGTATAATTGAGATTTCTGTTTTCTTAAAAAATATAGTTCTGTCAGTGTGGAGCAGTGCCGTAGTCCAGATGCTATGATACTCTTCACTGTGATGGATCATGATGTTTTGACAGCGAATGATTTTGCTGGAGAAGCTTTTCTGGGATTGAGTAGCATTCCCGGTGTGGTCGATTCGAATGCGAGTATCGATAATTTTCACGGCCTCAAGCATCAAGAGTTACCTTTGATGCATCAAAAGAACAAAAGTAAGTCTACATTTTTCGTTTGTAATATTGCTCTGTTGACTTATTATTGAAAATTGTATAATTGTTAAAGCTGGTATTCAATTTTTATTTTCAATAGATCATCCAATTCTGCAAATTTTGGAAACTCGCGTGGGCGATAAGCTGGCTTTGGATTTCGTGAAAAAGCAGAAACAACGTTTCGCCACGACGTAAATGAGATGTCTTTGTAAAGCTTAAAGAAATTTTACCAAAGAGAATGCGTGAACGACGGACTAGGTTGCGTGAAAAGGATGGACTTAAAAAGCTGGAAAAAAGAAAAAGGAACCAATCAGGATAATCCATCCTTCTGGAAAACGACGAATTTTCTCAAAACATTTTTTCGTCTAATCTCTCTACACCTCTCCCTTTGCAAACTTTCCAAATGCTGTGAAAATTTCCATTGATATGTGTAAATCGTGTCTGTGTTGGAAGTCGTATTTTATCGATGTTGGAAATAGAGAGGCAGGGGGAAGCTTGGAAAACAATAGAGAAGCAGAAATTAAGGAGTCTTATGAAAACTCGAGAAAAAGGAAACAAAGAAAATACGTGATGAACTATTTTTTGTCGATTCGAACAAAAAAATGTCAATATAAGTTGAGAAGAGTTTGGAGACAAAGGCGAGAGATCGTGTGTCAGAAAGTTTCGTTAAGAGAAAAAGATCAAATGAAGAAAATATACAATCGAAATGCCGAAGTGTTAAAGGAGGCGAAGGTCGATGAAAATCGGGGCGAAAAAAATCTTAAAAGTTGGTGTGATGTATTTAACGATAAATGTCTAAAGAAGATAGATACGCGTATTATATATATTAAAATTATATATATATATATACACACGTTATATTAATATATATGTATATTATATATATATATATATGATATAGATATACATATATTATATGTATACACGTATATACCGTAATGATTGTTGGTCGGCCATCGGATCGTTCATAAGTGGAACAAATGAGAACAAAACATGTTGCTTAAAGAAAAATTGTAAACAGTCCATTGCTACACGATGTAAGACTGTAAGACTAATGGAAAAAAAAAAGAAAAATAATGAAAGACAAGACACAGAATCTTATTGATTCATGATTTTGAATCGGTCCGGCGGTTCGGGCCAATATTCAAAAAAGTAAAAAAAAGGTTGATAATATTTTTCTTACTCGTCATTGGCTGACGTTTCTTTCTATCTTTCCACAAATTCTCCTTCGTGAGATATTGCCTAAGATACGATTTATCACTATGCTGTAGCTGTATCAAGTACACAAGTAACATTTCGAAAGAATATAATCATGTTTGAATTGAACTTGAAATTGAAAGTTTTATCTTTCAGTTTTCGCAACTTGCGGTCATATTGGACTAATCAAGTATCGTCATCTAATGGCATTATATCGTAATTTTGTTGCTTCGCAACAATAATAATTCAAAATTTAAAAAAATCGTATCCAAGGCAAAACTCCCTATTTATTAAGTAGTTAATGGCTAATGGCCGTCCTTGTGATCTGTCCATCAGGTACGAAGTTGATTGCTAAATTTCGAAGAAAAATGCGTTATCCTCAATATGAATAAAAAAGAAATGAGTAATGACGAGAGCGCATATTTTACAAGGGCATGAGTACACACACACCTATACATGAACGCAACGTCAATTTTCTAATGCACAAAATTAAGGGATGCAATCTGACATTCATACACGCACATATCTTTTATATTAGTATTATCGTTATTATTATCACTCAATGCTAATTATTTTTTGTTAAAAATCTGTTAGACTCTCTCGGCTAAACATTTAAGTTCTTACGTATTGAGAATGCACACCTATTGCAATGTAAAAGTATATTTGAGCGCTAATTTAATGCATTAAAATTATCAAGCTTCTAAGTCTATTCTGGTATTTACTCTGTCATGATCTTCCTTCGATCAAAACTCAAAATTTCATTTTTAATTTCTGAAATGAGCAGAAGAAAAGAAGACAAAAATATGTATTCAATTATCTTATATCGTGAGGCGAATAAATTATTATAAATGTGGATTGTATATATATATATTTTTTTTTTCGACATCCCGTTGTTCATTAGCAATTAAAAAAAAATGTGACTGTCATTTCTAAAAAAAGTATACAAAGATAAAAAGGAAAGTATATGCCAAATTGATGTAAGGTAAATGTCTCAAGAAGGAAATATTTAAGTAGGTGATCGTTCTGGCGATTTCGAAATTTGCTGTAAGCTCTCAGTTTTTGGAATTTGACCTGGCAACCCTTCTTCCGTTCGAATAATTGGTTCACCGTCGAGTTTTTCTAAATATGGTAATCGTCTCGCGACCTCCGTTCGCCAGGCCTCTGTCTAAATAATAAATGAAACTTGTAATTCAACGTGAAGCAACACTTTAAATATCTAGTTTTCTTTTTCAATACCTCAAGACCATCGCATATTGGATTCCCAACAAACAGTAAATCACGTAGATTTTGATTTTCGTGTAATCGTGCGAATTCGTTCCATTCGCGCACTAAATTATTTGACATATATAGCACCCGCAGATTCCGCATGGCATTAACGCCTTTCAGCTTTTCGATACAGTTATACGAAATCCACAATTCAACTAAATTGTCACCAAGCGATTCAAGGCCAGAAAATCCCTTTATAAAATTTCGTCCAAGTGACAAAATTTTCAAATTTTTCAAGGTTCCAATACCTGGAAAAGATAAATTTAGCTAAATATTTTCGTTATCAAAATTTATTTAATTTACATTTTTATAATGATACCGGCAATTTTTTCGATCATGTTCGTTGATAGCGAAAGTTTTTCACACTTGGACAAAGACGCTAATGCGTTATCCATTTTTTCAATCGGAGGCCATTGAAAGCTTAGATTAACTTCCGTCGCGGATGGAGCTTCTTGTCCAGTTTCTTCCTCCCAACGTCGAATCGCATCTTTGCAAGTAGTTGGTTTCCCGATGGTTGACATTCGATTTGTATATTTAAACGTGCTATTTAAGTACAATTAATTTGACATATTATGTGATCTCTGAAAATGCACGTTTTTTTATTAAATCAAATGGAACGGATTATTATAATTACGGAACTCAAAAGTGAGACTACGCTCAGCCTATAGAAAAAAGTGAAGGTGACAGGACAATAGTTGAGTATGTTATTACAAATAAAAAATAGTGCAATACGTATCAGCGGAATATATAAAATGATGTAAGTGAATTTTTTATTTCTGGATAATGCCACAAGTGCAATACGTGTCTGGTATAGTACAGTTTTCAATCTTACCAACATTTTAGAATTATATTTAGGGTTATGCTACTGATTTAAGATTGTTACTGTCATGGCTAGTGCTGCCATGGAAGCCGTTACTAGGCATTCAATATCAAACAAGAACCTCCACCTAATTATTTGCTACGCTTTCCTTATAGGCTCATTCCCCCTTGTAGTTTCCCCCTTTAGTAAAAAATTCCCGCTAGAGTTAGTTTAGTTAGAATTACTAATTTGATAACGAACAAAGTAAAACGTAATTTTTCGAGGCAATGGGTTTCGTGCTTTACCCACTGATTAATTACCTGTACTTTTACCTTTTTTCAAGTTTCGTTACACAAGTAATAAATTACGTAAAAAAATAAACAATTTGAAATGACATTTTCTTAGAAGGACAATTTTTTATTTAAAAATCTCCAAACTTACCGAAACGTTAATTTAATCCACAAGGTTAGGATTTAAAATTGATAAATAAAAAATAATTTTTAAATCGTTCATAAGCTCTCAAATTAGCGCACGCAGTGGGCCTCTAGTGTACTGAAACAAAGCGTTGTTTCCCTCAATAAGTGCACGGTGACCCAAATTACGTGGAAGTATTAATTTCACGGCTGTTTTGATCTCCTTTGCTGTCAAAGTTTGCTTTGAACTGAGTTTCGTTAATCTGTGAAACAATAGGTAATATGAGACGTCGCTAATTAATTATAACGATAAACTTTTTTAATCGAACTTTTTTTAACACAATTATTTTAATCGAATGACAGATTCAATTATTTAAATGCTTCGTTGAAATGTGATTCTAAAAAAACCATGCGAATAGTAAAATATTTTAAATTTGATGTAAATATATTTACCTCGAAGCTTCAGCTGCACATCGATCGAATATGTCATTGATAAAGTAATTCATAATTTCTAAAGCCTTCCAAGAAATGGATCTGCTCTTGTCTACCTGTATAGATTGCAAATATTTGTAATATTATCGATCTTACACACAGGGTATAATGTATAGGAGAATGATTAAGTTGAGAGTTCGATTTAAGTAATTCTATAAGAACAGACAAATTTGTGAATCTTTTGAAGAATTTTATAATCTCTGTTAAGGATTACCAACCTGCTTAAGAATCTTGTTAACGTACATAGCATAGCTTGGTTTCTTCTCCAAATGTTTATGAATATTTCCATTATTTGACAAATGGCTAACGTTCGTAAAAGATTTCATATCTGCTTGTTAGCGATATCCTCACCGATCATTTAATTGATAAAATACAAATTCCACGATTTCGATAATTCTAACATGACGTTTTCGCGACGAAGCCAAAATTGAAAACAATGAAATATCAAAAAGCAGAAGAACGAAGCGTGTGAAAAAAAAATAGTAGATCTCTACCGTATCTGTTACCTCAAAGGGTGCCACCGATTAGCCTTGGAGAATATGCGTTCCATGCTTAATAAATAATGTGTCTTAAGGAATTTTAGGGAATTAGAATTCCAGGTGTACTCTCACTTAAATATTATTTTTTTTTGTATATGCACATCATGTAAGTACCGCTAATTAGAATTTTTTATTTTTATTACCGAAAATGCTGGCAGTATTGTCATTTCATATATTACAGCGAACAGACATGTATGATTACGCTACTAAGGACATCGATGAAACTTTTGGGAAGAAAGTGTCGTACATTCCTTTTTTTTTTTGTTGGTGCAGAAATAGTAGAGGACAATGCGATAGGAGGAAAATGAGGGAACGAGGGAAAGGGAAGGATCACCTAAAAAGAATCACATATCGATTTGCATACTCGTATCGATCTGGATCTCGTAAAATATAGATATAACATAGTCACAATCAGGATAATAACATCGATTTTTACCTAAATTTACAAAAATATTCAAAGGCACTTTGTAAGAATGTTTGGTGGCTCGTTGATGAGAGAGAGAGAGAGAGAGAGAGAGAGAGAGAGAGAGAGAGATTTTTCGTCTCGCGACAGGAACCAAAAGATTCGCCATTTTTCTTTCTCCAATTTTCTACTACATTGATTTCAGGACACATTTTCCTCTCCAAGTACTAAGAAAACCATTCGGTAAAGTGCCGCATGAGAAATTTCAAATTCTTTTTTACGTTTTAACATGTAGTTGATTATCTGATTACACTATAAAATTTGATATATACTCCTCCGTTGAGTCCTATCCATATGAAACACTCTGTATGTGTTTACATATTCGTAACGTGGTTCAATTTCAAAATTTTCACACGTAAAGATTTTTTTTTTTTTTGTGGAATTTTAAAGGTTCTCAAAATACGTAGGATATCGCAATATCACGACGTAACACTAGATTACTTACGATACGCACATTTTTATCTGATTTTACGTAGATTCCGTAAATCTTTAAGAAAAAGAGAAATTTATTGCAAAGCTACGTACAACACCGTAAAAAAGTTTTGAGACGAAATGATATTTTTTACTTGCATGTATTTTTAATTAAAAAAAAAAAGAAAATTATATACGGCTAATTGTTTTCTCGGTCTAAAACACAGAAAACGATAGACCTCATTATACTTTTGTACGGCATTGTACACGGCGTACAATTTTTAATGAAACCACGCAATACAATAACATAATTAACATTACACAGTGTCGATTGATTTTCATATGATACATTATACAAGGTGATTCAAGACTAGCGTACCAACTAAGGCTGTTCTTATTATTGAAGTTAAATAGTAGACTAACTTTGGTTGGTGCTTTAATTTTGAATAACCCTATATATATCTATATGATAAAAATATGTCTATACATAGAATTATAATGTAGACAGTAACACCTTTGTAAGGGGACACATTATCATATAATATATGGAACAATAGATTTTGAGTTACTTTATACTTAAGATACGATTAACATTTTGTATTAGGTTACAGTTTGATTGGTCTTGATATATTTCGATATTGCATTAAAAATCAACTTTTGCTCTTTGCTTTCTTTGCGTCTTGACTACAATAGGCAACTGTGTCAAAAAATATGTTACGATTCAATTTATCAGATTTTATTCCCTATTTTTCGTATCAACTGAAAAGTATTCTGCACTTTTCATCTGATATATTTTGGAGTTTTTTTTTAAATTTTATTTCACGTATTATTTCACAAAGCAAAATTTTTGAAACGGTGAAGAATCTTATAATATTAATCCACATTCTAGATAAACCATTAATGGATGCACTTTGCAATTTGTATGGGTATATATACCTATCACAGTATATATATATATATATATATATATATCACAGGAACAATTTACCAAAAATCATATTCTACTTGGATTTATTCTTCCCTATAATTCAAATGAACTGTCAATCTTAATTAACCCGAATATCATCTACTGCTTGTATTCTTTATTTTATGGCAATAAATTTTGCTTCTTTATATTTTTTTTTCATGTTACATAACTTGGCATGTTTTTCATGTCTTGTGCTCTCGACTTAATGGTCCTGTCAACGTGTGCTTACTATTAAATGGTGATCATTAATTACAAGGAAGTTTATAATTTAGCAATATCGTGCTCATTTTGATTCTGTTAATTACACTTTAGCAACAGCTTAATTAAATAGATTACTATTATTCGTAAACGGAAGATCCACATCTCTCTCCGTCAGTTCTAATTATTTTCGGGTTGGAAACCGACTGAGAATGTATTCAACGTATATATCAACGTTCAATGTTTTGTAATTACTGCTGTAAATTAAAATTGTAATAATACGAGGTGTTTCTTGTAACTAACAGTTTACTTATGTTTCATACCTCAGAATCTGTCACTATGATTACTACATGACATTGTGTATATTTCCTTAGATGAAAATTTGTAAAAAAGAGTCATAGTACCATTTTTTCTCCCCCTTCAAATTTTCGTTCAACATTCAATTTCCTCACCGTTTCTAAAAACTTGCGATACATACATAATACATATATATATATATATACGTCATAGAAAAAATTGAGTTATGCATACAGCAAATACGTTGAACTACACGGCGATAGTATTCGCCATGGTCCAAAATTTTCAGAATTTATCATTCTACTGATCAATCAGTAAGAAAATAAAACGTCTAGCAAAAAATTGGTTCACCTGCTGATTATTTAAGATATTTTATAGGTTCTACGGTGACGCTATATTTTCTAAATAAATAAAAAGATAGCACGTACTGATTACAAACTGATTATGAATTTTATGTGAATTTCTTTGAAAATGTAATGAAGTTCAATTATTGGCACGTGATTATCACTGCGGACAATAGAAAATCCTCGTCCAACTACAGTTCGTGAAGATTTTCGCAATTTTTGAATTTACTATCTTCCTTGCCGAAAAGCCAAGTTAACATTTGGCGCGCTTTCATGCTGGCGCGAACGACGCCTCTTGATTTGTACCAATGACCGCTTCCTTCGCTACCTCCACCACCGCCGCCACTACCAGCCTTATTTTCTAGATGGCGCTGAACGACTTTCAATCTTATCTGACTGAGAATACCGACGAGAAGATCGTCCACGTTGTGATTAATTCCCACGGAGATTTCAATGAATTTTGACCTGTATGTACAAGCCATGCATTTTCCATCTGAGAAAGATAACGATATAAAGCTTATTATGATTATCAACATATAGTGCCTACCTGATCATGAATAATTTATTGATTTTTTAATAATGTCTGATCAAACTGTATGCTGTACATTTATCTATTTCTTTTTTTCATATAATACTATATAACAAATTTTTGTATATTATATTCTTACCTTGCGATGACACGGCCCTGGAGCGAACCAAGTCAACCTTATTGCCAACTAAAATTGCAGGTCTGCCTCTTAGAAAATCCAGATCGTGAAGACGTGCCAAATATTCTTCGGCCCTTTGAAAGGATGCTTTGTCGATCACTGAATACATGACGACAAAGGCATCGGGTTGGTTTATCTTCTCTAATTCCGTCTGCAGAAAAGAATGTTGTAAAAAAATTATTGATACCATAGAATACAATTATAAGAGAACAGTACTGACACGGAATGTCGATTTAAAGTGCTGTCATATTTAAAAGTCAGAAAGAACATAAATCACTAACCTTTGGATTTGTAATGTTCAAAAATCGCAGTTCACTTTCCTCTCCATTGAGCATTATAAAAACAGACTGCTCGCTCGGGACATCTGAAAATCAAGCGATTATGAATTAATTAGGTGATGAGGCAACTCGACAGAGAGAATGCTTTTTCAGTTTGTAACAAGAGAGAAAGAAAGAAAGGAGGGTAATGGAGTAGTCTAGAATGAAATGAACGAAGTTCGTGACGGAGCCAAAAGACAACGTGGCCAACGACCGACGAGTTAGAAATGACGTCTGAAGAGTGACGCAACCACGAAGACGAAATTAGAATTTTGTTGAACTAAAAAAACAAGTATAGAGGCCAAACCACGTGGTAGATGTTGAACAGACACCGGTAACTAACTACGGTGGCTGCTAACCCTGGTGGCTGCTATAAAACTCGAGCAGCCCCGTAAACTATTCGCACGACCCTGGATGTCAGACTTTTCTTTAATTTAAAAGCAAATCGAGAGACAAGAGACAGAAAGTATTGTAAATCAGCGAACCCAACTTAATATTCATCTAAATGGGATTCTTGGCCCCAGCACCAAGTTTGTAATACTTGAGCTAACGAAGACATTTTTTTTATTTACATAAAATATATCTTTATTACAAAAGTGGTATATGCAATATTACAAAGAATCATTTATATATATTAATTTTTCTACATGACGATATCGAAGAGTTGGAAACAACTGTCACGTGATTTGCCATATTGGCTGTTCACGTAAATCGTACCATAAGTAATAACTACACGGGTGGAAAGTTTTTGCGACAGTAAACTGGCGAAAACTTTGTTAGTAAAATCTAAAATTTCTCTTCGTTGCATACAAACGTACGCAATTGAAAATTGTAACTTGAATACGTATTACGTAGTGCTGAGTGCAGTTTACGTAGAGTGCACTACGGATGCAGTCTCGATGTTAGAGCAGAGAACTACTGCTATACAGACCTTGCGGTAACTCGATGCCCTCTCTAGTTTCCGTGTGAGAAATTAGTTTGCTGATTTAGCGTCAGATTGCGCTGGCGCAACTATCTACTCTTGCGGTCTTACTGATCTACTTTTCAAAATTAGTTTCTACTTGTGTATTTCGATGGAAAATAAAGTTGTGAGGAGTAGTACTACTCGTGGTTAAATGAACGAAGGCCATTTGATCTTCCCAGGTACCTCGATGTTTTATTATAAATATTGAAAAAGGAGTAACAATAAAGAATCACTGTAACAACGTTATTTATCCCTTAGCAAACGCCATCAATATTTTTTTAACATCGATATACTTTTTTATCCTAATCAATGTTCTCTGCACGTGAAAGATGATCTCCAGGATTTTCGTGAGTGTCGAACGTAACGCAGGCTTACCAATGTTTCTTTATTATGACACAGGTCAAAGTTTCGATCTAATAAATCTGAAAATAGGGTTAGATACGTTGGCGATGCTGAAGTGGCGTGGTCAAGGTAGAGGAAGTCGGAGAAGATCGTAAATCTTTCACGTTGTTGACACGTGGCGACAACACGATTGTCTTGATTGTTTGGGAAGGACAAAAACAATAGAAGAGTTTCCCCATTGTATATAAGCACGTGTCATGAGCAAAGTAAAACCACACGGCATGCCACGACCAAAGAATAAAACGTCGATATAAATAGTTTAAAGGAATCACTATATAGACATCTTCCATTTTTTTTAACATCAGCAACGACTACGTTCATTATCGATTTGACGTCTTTATCGAAACAAGTCTACGGCAACGGATTCTTATAAATCGCTAAGCGAATTCCAATTTCCAATAGATATTCGTAATTAGGAATTCATCTAAGTTATCCTGCAGAGAATCTGCAATGCATATTAATATCTCAATCCATAATTAAATAGCACGTTACATCGTGAACACGGCTACGTGAAATTCATCGAGGAACTATTTGATTAGCATGTACGGGTGGTGCCATCTGCTAGAAATCTTCAGAAACCAGGCGCGATGCTGCGGGAAAATCGATGGACTTTAAACGGCGTGAAGTTGCGTAGATGAGACCTCAATCGTTAGGTTGTTACCCACCGGACCGGAATAGTAGGAACGGTAACAAAAATTGAAAGCAGAAACAAAGTAAAAAAAAATAATTAAATTAATAAATTATTCAAGAGCAATACGACAAGCTTAATTTCAAAATTGTTTTAATAATATACGTGAGAGAATAATATAACAAAGAGAATATACGTGACTGACGATGCACATAAAGTTTTGATGAAAATATCTGACTCACACTCTGTTAGTTCGCGACTTTGCCGCTAGATAACGAAAGGACATAAAAAAAAGCGTCGCAACACTGAAATACACAAAATGTACATGCGCACATAAAAATGAGTTGACTGGTACAATCGAGCGTGAATATATCGGGGGTGCTTTTTCAGTTAGCTCATTCGTTGCTGAACTTTCGCAATACGTCATTTAATAAACGAGCATCCCTGGAACATATATAAAGCGCATAAATATAGCCAAGTGCATACACTTATAATTAAAAATACATGCACGACTAAATGCACTTATAGCACTGCCAAGGATGTAAAGCTGAGTGATAAAATAAAAACATAAATAGTTGTATACGTGTGTATATATATATAAATATATTCGACTAAGATAACTGAGTAGATAAGCAGGGTATAAAAATAAGTGGATACGTGTAAATGCTGCTAACCGGCAAGTCAATCGGTCAGTAGAATAGATACGCAACCAGTCAGCCAAGACGTCTGGCTTAGAGACGCTCGAGCTTCTGGTTTAGTTCTGTTATAGTTTAGGAAAACTGAACCGGCAGTAGACGTCATTGGCGGTTAACGGACTGACCGACCAACGATTATTCACACCGCCCTGACAGATTCGAGTCCTCGACCCACATAGATGGGCTCACTCGACCCACGCTTTTTCAAAACTATCGAAACTTTCTCCCTCGTTTACGAGACGAGCAGATGTTAACTTGTCGTCGGAACATTTTGGCCGACTCAAAGCCGTTTTGAAAACTAATTCCATTTCTCTTCTTAAGGCTAATTATGTCACCACAGAAATATTGGTAGTCACGTTTCGAACTGCCTAAGATACTCTTCTAACTATTTTTATGTATGGATAATATATAGAACTGACTCTAATACGGCGTGACAGGATATTTCAAAGTATCGATTCTGTCCAGAAATTTGTATATATTTATGAGCTAACCTGATACAGGGAATTACTTTTAACTCGGAGACCAATTACCATGAGACCAAATCTGTCATTTTTATATACAGAAGACGAGGAGGATGATAAATTTGATTGTGTAACTGAGAATTTAACTGGAGCATGTGATACGAATGTATTATTAAAAGGAAATTGTATTTAGCCATTCGTAATTGAATTAACGAGAGGCTCTGGGAGACTGTGGGAACAGGATAAGGATTAGAAATATCCACCCGAATACCAATGTAGATTACGTTTACATTTTACTAATGATAATGAATTTAGCGAGGCAGCTGGCTAGAGTGAACAAATCCATTGACGGTTTTCGCGTGAATTTAATTATCCCGTAAAATCTTTGAATAAGCCTAATCTAATTTACATTGTAATTACAGAAATATGATCCATCTCCTTCGAACTCAACTCTTAAGTCACTATACGCCCCGTATCCTTTTTCTGTTTACCATTTTCAAAATGGCAATCTAAAATGTTCATCTTTTTATACGTTTACGCAATATTGCATCGTTAAACCCACATATGCTTGGAATGGCTCTGAATCACTATAAAACATCGAAATTTCTCGTAAAATATTTTTATGAAACTTTTATGGATACTGATTGCAAACTGTTTGACGCATAGAATTTCCTTTTATCGAAATCCTAATATACGAGTGTTATTTTTAGTTGAAATAACGAGAAAAAAATTATTGCCTTACATTGCCCAGAGGAAAATGTAAATTTACAAGAATTCTCTGTTTTGTGAAATAATCTTAATTAAATATTTTCGCTGCATCTAATCGTCAAGGTTCTCTGTTTTCCTCTCTCTAATTTTCATTTAACGATGAAGAACAATTTGTCCAGTAGCCGGTAAAGGTAAGAAGAACGAGAGGGTGGTTTAGAATCGGGGTGAAAATGGAATGGCGAGGGCATATGGGAAAGGTAGAATCAGTTGGAAGGCAGGTGAAGCAGACAGAGTACAGGATGTAGAAAGTCCGTGGGATAGCGTGATGGAAGGATCGGAAAAGAGAAAGTAAAGAAGAAAGGCAGAGACAGAACGTGCTTTACGATTTTTCCAATCTTGCCAAAGATTGAGTTCTCTGGTTCGTCGGCGGTTCGATTTACGCGTTGCCTTTACTTCTCCTTAAGCCACGAACGTTTAATCGGATATCCGTAATGTCGTATCTCTTCCCTTCTTGAGAAATGAGACTTTTGCGGAGAGCCATGAATTTTCTGTAAGGACGCAAAAGCCCGAAACGCAATTGCCAAAGGGAGCAATTTTTCCACAATACAGGTACGTATATTCATGTGCGAGTTTATACTGTGTGTAATACCTGAATATGTACGTTGACGTGGTACATGCGATTAAATGAGAAAATTTGCTATCTCAACGGGTAACATTAATCACATGACAAACGGTACTGATTTTAATAAGATTCGTCAAGGGTTAATAAGAAATCCCGAGATTAAATCCACATACATTTTCTTTAATCTTTAAACATATTTTTTGCAGTTTCAATTTTACCTATACTTATATGAGAATATACGAAGAACGAAAGAGAAAGGAAAAAGAAATTTGTATAAAATATCCACGATTTTCCATGTAAAATTTATTCATAACCAAAGTTTTTCAAAATTTCTAACTCCGCAAAAATTTTAATTTTTTTTCAAAGTGACGAGTATGTTCTTATTTAATAGTAAGGCCATGCTAGGTAAGTCACGAGACCAATTCGTAAATACAAATCGATCGGAGAATCCCCAAAAGACCATACGACGGAATTAGTCTCAAGGGAGCGTCGTTCCGTATCAGCTACAATGAAGAATACAGTAAAACTAAGGGTCGCGAGCAGGGGAGTAAAATGACATCGTATAAAATCCCCAGGGTGACTCTCGATACTGTCTGAATGGCTCGCTATCGCCAGAGGCATTTGTGTTAATTGCGAATGAAAAGAGATACGGCATTTCGAAGTCTTTGAAGATCCAGTGACATTGGATACTCGACGACCGATAGATAAGCACCAAATTACAATTTTATTTATACGTGAAAAAGAAACTGGACAATTGTATATATCGTAGAAGAGAAGAATCTTTAGTTAGTTCTAACAGGTTCCTGATGAAAACGTGTAATGATTACATTATAGAGGCGCAACTTACCACGTTGACGATCGTAAGCATTAATGCACTCGCTGGTCATAAATTGACTGATCAGGGCCGTCTTGCCGACACCGCGGGCCCCGAGCATCGCCACTGTATACGAAATGACTTCCTTCGGCGGTGAGGTTGGCCTCTCCTCCGTTTCCTTTTCAGCCGGTGCCAGGGAATTGGATCTCGATCTTTTTCGTCGGAAGGAGTCACCCCTGTTTATCACACCTGTCAACGTCAACATTTTTTATTAACGTAATTCACCGTAACAGATTGTTTGTATGAGATGATATACTGGCAATATTTGTCGACGAGAATCGCTATAGAATTTTCACTCATACTAATATATGGATATTACTCTGGATATTAGATTGACACATTACGCAGCAACAGTTGCCGATGACAATTGTAAGGGAAAAATATTACGTTGTCTGTTATACAGGATTATTCGCTTATAACGATACATAGGATCGGGTATAAAATTCGAATAGCTGAGTTTTTATGTCATTGAAGATATAAGGGAACTCGTATTAACACTTTTTATCTGTAATGTTTGACATTTGGTTTTCATGCTTTTATTACATCTTTCATACTCATTTAATACGATCAGGCGCACTTGCGAATAACGTTTGGACATAATTTTCGTATTCCATGCAATAAAGATATTTGTAATCAAGTGGCAATCGATACTAGCACTTGCGTAATACAAAGCAATATTTTATAATGATAATTTATTGAAAACCCTGTGACACCTGTTGCCGTCACTTTCGATAGCACACTAATGTCGCAATATTGCTTTCCCATTTTTGTATATCATTAAATTATACAGACCTGTTGGTATTCCATTACTCAACGTCGAATACGATAAGCGATTTAATGCAAAGACATTATGTATAACTTATTACAAATTCTTATCCAAATTTGCGATAACTTTCTTTTTCACGTCAATACTGCATCGACGATAAGTTTGCTCTTGGTCTTTAAAAGAATTTTCCTATTGAAAAATCATGCTCCCATTTCAAGAAATCAGATTGGAAATTGACGTCTCAACAGAAAGACACGCGACAGGGAGTCCTTTAACTGCTCGCGAGTATTGATTCGTTTCTATTCATCGTGGATTCGTGAGTAAGTAGTATACGAGCAAGTAAGCCAGCCCGGCTTATATGGAGTACGAGTAGTGGCGGGCAAACAATAGAATGGCTGGACAAGCCTACTGACAGACGGATATCGAGGTACTCGGTCGTCAAATGGAATCTCGTCACTTCCGGCAGACTCGAGGTTTCCGACGTTAACGTAACATTCGTCATATGAAAATGATTCTTACCAATAAATAACATAGGGACTTTAAGAAAAAATGGACAATGACAGTTATCGGTATATCGACATAATGTGACAGGTGAGAAATGATTTCATTAATATTACACGCAATTTTGGTGAATCGTATTATTCATTGCTGCTTATTAATTAATGAAGCGACGAATTTATTTTGCAAAGGGTGATACGCGATGAAAAGTATATAAAATAAAACCTGTTGAAAATTTTTGACATTTTTTAGAATTTTTCGTATAATAATAATGATATATGAATTTATAATATTTACCAATAAAAATATTTCTTTCTCTCTCTACTCATGCATACCAACGAATTTACTTTGCTTTACAATTTAGCGCCATATTTCTCGCCTGTGCATTTACACGTGAGATGGTTTTCGCGCGAGTGCCATTAAGTCCCTTAGCCATAATTAACGGTCAATTAAATGCGACAAGGTCGTAATGATTTTAACTGGGTACTGCATACATTGCTATGAGTCGAAGTTATGTAAGAGAGAAGCTGGTAAATCGATCGGAAAGTTAATTAATCTAGGAGATAGTTTGTCGAAAGATGTTTGTCGTTGGACAGCCTCTGTAATCACGGAGGCTTGCGAAATTTTCGTCGTATCAGGGCAAACAGATGTCAAGGTTTTCCATCTAAGGAAAACATTCTCGATGGTTCGGTCTTCGAAAATTTCTTGTTTTTGCGAACCGGCTTAGATTTCGGATTGGCTTTTCAGCAAAGTATACACAATCCCAGAAAACTTTCGCTAGGTTCTAGATTAAACGATATATAAATATATATACATAATATATACGTAACTATTTGTAAAATTTTCAAGCGATTAAAACATATTTACATAATCATTTTAATCAAAAATTTAGTTTACATTACGTTAAGATTCATGCTCATCTTGAGGTGGAGAGAAAAACAAAAAAATTCCAGTTCAAAAATTCAAATGTACCAACATTCGAGATTTGCTTCATGAAACAAAATTATGATTTAAAAAAAAGCATTCGCCTCTTTGACAAGGACAAAAGTACCCAGTGGTACAATGAAGTTATTTATTTCTTATAAAAAAAAAGGCAACAAGCTCAATGTTCCCCATTCACCGACTCGAAAACTTATAGTTGTTTCCAAGTTCCTCCGGAACTTTGTGTTTCCCTTGAGAACATCCAGAGTCAATCGTATCCTTCTTGGTTGCACATACTTCGTCTTCTCACCCTCGCATTTTCCATTCTCTTAGATGCTTTTTTATCGATAATCTAAAAGCTTCGCAGCTTGCGCAACTTTCGTAGCACGTACCACTCACGGAGATAGCACCCTTAGGTATACACGTATTAAACTGGCGATGTACGTTTGTGAACTTTCCAGGCGTGGTAGTGGAGTTTCACAGGTTTATGCATTCAAAAAAAATGAGTGCGTTTAGCGATTCGACAAATTGCTGTCAGTTCGTGCGAGCTAAATAAAATCACGCTACATACGTATGCCTCTATAGATATACGCATATAGTGTATGATTTTTACATGTGTGTGCATATGTATTTATATACAGGACATGTGCCATCCTGGCTCTTTATTCGTACAGTCTATCTTGATGCATTTCGTGTATCATGGACGACGGTAACGATAAAAGTTCCTGCAGGGACGAGGAAACGTCGAAAAAAAAAGGAAAAAGTTCTTTGTGACGCAAGACAGGCTAGATATCGAATTGGTCAAGTTTACTAAAGTCATTACTACAATAGATCACGTGTTCAGGATGCGATAATATAGTTCTTACACAGGGGTGATTACGGCGGGGATGAATGGAGCGATAAGGTTGTGTTCAGGAAAGTCCTTGAGAACCAATCCATTAAGAATTTTTAGCTCGGAATGTACTTAGGCATATACGTATATATGTATAATGCGCGAAGGCTTACTGACGTATTTTAGGCTAAACCATCTGGGAAATTATACTAGGAAATTTGTCGACTTCTGAAAAATAACTTTATTGCTTGTCTCGCAGCTTTTCACCAGGTTGTACTCGCGAATATGTGAATAACGAGGAAAGACAGAGATTCTCAAGATACGAAAATTTTCTTTTATCAGAGTGAACAATATTATCTGTAATCTCGGTCACTTGAGTATTTTGATGCGTTCGAGGCGTTCAAATATTGGAATTTTATTTATACGGCGAAGATTAATTTCCTGCTTTGTGCAGAATTTCTGCACATTTCTGAAAATCTTCTCGCTGAATATTGATCCAGGACCAGCTGTATCGTAAAGAGAGTAACCGTGATTTTCCAACCACGAAGTAAGGGTTGGTTATCATTAATATTTTTATTTAACGAGCTTCGCCCCCGTCACCACGGAACTTGGGCAGATCTTCCCGCACAAGAAAATGGCAAAAAATATTGAACCCCCGGAGGATCGTAAAATTACTTTTTACGTGTATCTGTCTCGTTGAAAATGTAACAGGATATATTTTTCAAGAGTGCGATCATACGATCATACGAAAATCGTATTATACGAAGTTTTAAAGAATTATCAAAGGTGCAGCGAATCGTGATTTTGTTTAGTGAAGAGTTTCACATGTTTCGCCAAAATAATTTCCATCGACTTCGCGGAAATTGACTTCGAAATATCTTAACTTCCACTACAGCGAACTTTTCTCGGACGTTGAAATAGCAAAAGAGAGATGGCTGTGTCGAGGAAAGATCATACACGATTTGTTCTTCCTTGCTTCCATTTTGCAGCTGCTCGAAGAGTGATCACAAAAACGTTTAATTTCAAAGGATCGTTTATGAAGTGTCAAATTTGATCAAATATTTGATCAAGATAAGCACAATATCTATTTTGTACGATTTCACCGTAAAAGTAAGATACGTTATTTTGCAAGTTTTGCGAATCGACAACTGCGCACGTGCAGCGTACATAGAAACTGCAAACGTAAAATGAATAAAAGCTTGCACGTTATCGATTGTCAATTTGAACGTTAAAACCAGATTTACAGTACGATGCATGACGCTTGAATTCCCTTACATTGAATACTGTTTGAAATTCAATTTTCGAAGATTTTCCAACGTGAATTTCATCTGTGAATATGCAGATACTTCCATAGATGAACAAGTTTTAAATAGGGTTAGAATATAGAGTGCAGATTTAAAGAATCTCACTCGTAACGTTAAAGTATAGAAATTTACATGGAAAAGTAGCAAGGAAAATTAATGCGAAATTTTAAACCTTTCATCTTCAAAATGGAACCTAGACGGTCTTCAGGACTTAAGATAATCTATCAGTTACGTAGATTAGAATAGATCGTATTACATTTTTGTGAAACTGCACGTCATTTCCCCGGGGAATAGTAATCCTCCGGTTATACATTCAAGAATACTTACACTACATATAGTAGTAAAATGCTACTAGTGGTGTGTTCTATGATTTCAGATTGGATACGCGGAACACACCTTAAAAAAAATATTTAAACTTCTGTTATGGATTTAATAAAAATATGAAAAATTCGTTACTACTAATGTATATATATATATATACAATAAAGTATAATAAATTCATAGTAGCAATTATCTAACACTATTTTCTAATCAACTTACGAGACGTTCGATATCATATTATGAAAACGATTGATGATATTCACCAATGCGATCTCCTGTTTTATAAAATAATATTTGTTAAAGTTGACTTAGAATAGTGCCGAAATACTGCAAGTAAGTAGGGCCTGTAATGCATGTTCATTAAAAAGTTACTAGGAAGCTACTCATTCTCGTGTGCAATTTCAGTGTTGTACTCGAGCACTATACAAGTTCAAGTAAATAAACTGGCGTCGGCAAATGGATTCTCTATTACAAATAAAATAACAAGGATTGATATGTCAATTTCATTAAGAAGTTGCTAGATTACAACACAGCGCATAAGCAAACT